AGGGACAAAAGGACCCCTGATGATCCTCTAATCGCCTGAGCCAAGGTGTGAAACTGGGTGTGGGTCCCAATCAGCCAGAGTTTCGGGTGAGTTCATTGTGAAACCTGGCCCCACCTTATCATGCGAATTCCTGAGGTCAGATGGCCCAGGATGTGAGTGGGCGTTAAGGCGTCTGGGAAGGGATACTCAAAACTGGATTATAGATGGCAGAGAGTTGGTGTCGTAAACCACCGCCTCTGTTCAAAGATGGTCGCTCACAGTGGACATAGATGGCTTCTTTCACTCCTCTTTCAAACCATCTGTCCTCTCTGTCCAAAATGTGAACATTGGCATCCTCGAAAGAGTGTCCTTTATCCTTCAAGATGCAGATGGACTGCTGAGTCTTGTCCTGTGGAGGTGGCTCTTCTGTGTTGTGCCATGCGCTTGTGAAGTGGCTGTTTGGTGTTACTGCACTGTGACACTACTTTAGGTTAATTTGTGAGAGTTATCCTTAAAGGGCACGTGACATATATTTGGCCATTGTTTATAGGTCAGGTTTTTATATGGGACGAATCCAAAGACCAGGTCAGCGATTCCAGAACCCAGAGTGTTCCAGTGTTCACTGGATGGCGAGCCAACCCAAGATCCTAGGAGACGATATACATATACACGCACACTCATTTGCACATTGATGGACTACAATCCTCTACTGTAGGACAGACAATCACACACACACTCCTTGTCGGACGAATTCTATTGGAATACACCTGTTTGTCACGGGCCCCACCGGTACTATTTGGACTTAAAAAAGACTAATTCTTTTACTTGTGCACAATTTTATTTAACTCTATTTTTTTTGCTACTTTGGGGGAAATTATACTTGACATTCTGTTAAAACCTGTTGTGATACTGTGTTGGTTACAAATTTATTTTACAAGGCTTAACATCACTAAAGTATTTTTAAAAGCCACACAACTGTGTTTGTCTGGTTTCTCTGCCATTCGTGTACCAGAGCTCTAAGAGTCGTTCTCAGTCTTCTGACACTAGCCCAAATTACTTATTACCTTGGTAATTATCCATTGGTACTTTATGTAACTCCACGTAAGTGCTACACAGAGTCTGCAAGAAACAACAATGTGGTGGAGAAAGTTGCTCAGCTACCTGACGGAGCGAGTCAGGAACAATCTGCACATCACTGTCCATGTGAACCCAGCGGGGGAGCCTGTCAGGTAGCTTCTGCTTCTTGCTGCAAACTACATCCGATATCAGCTGATGCACCGTATTTTCCTGTCTCCTCTTTTTAGCCTTCCCTCTCTCATCTTCTCTGTGTTGTTTCTTGTTTCACCAAATTCTGACCTGTATCCCTCAATGAGTGCGTTAACACAGATGAATAACTACGTGTGCAACGGCAATTAGAGCGGAAAATTTCATCTACTAATGTGTTTGGCTAGGTACTCACTGTGAACATACACCCGCTTTCAAGGCTTCGCCGCCACAGGTTTATGAGAAGGAGCTCTCTATGATTCACACCGCAGTCCTTCTAAGCTGACGAGGGCACGGTGCTTAATGGCACACCTTCTCTGCAGCAGCTCTATTTGTGGGGGCAATTTAATCATCTAATAAAAACTTTCCTTGAAAGCAAACAACTCAGCTGCAGCCTTATTTATTTACTATGTAGTGCACTGTAAATGGAAAAGTAGTCAAACAAAGTGGTTTACAGACTTTAGGACAGGCAATATCAAAAATAGATGCAAAGTCACGAGACGAAAAGAGGATATAGATGAAGGATATAACAAAATAACGCTAAAAAACGATAAAAACCCTGAAAACCATACATTTCAAACCTGAGCCTCAACTCTCGTGCCCGGTACCAAATATTTATTTATTTATTTAGGACAGTGCATGTTAATGAACATAAATGTAAAAAAATATATATATTACATGAATGTAAACATACCAGATTATAGCCAAAGGCTAATTTCCATCTGTTGTCCTTAAACATAAAAAATAGACATAATAATTCATAAAAATTCATCATTCATTCATAATAAAACTCCATCACCAAACTTACACATACACACCATTCTGTTCCCAAATAAAACATTAAAACTATACAACTCATACATGATCGCACACTTGATTTGTCCATAACCAGTTTTCAACCTTTGCCTTAAACAAATTGAGTGTAGAGCATTCTCTAATAAGTTGAGGAAGACTGTTCCACAGATGGCTACCCTTAACAGAGAGGACGTTCTGCCCAAATGCTGTCCGTCTGTGGGGACCCCACAGTGGGGTATAAACAAGTCTCCTCGGATTGTAGCTCGAGTGGTCCTGTCTGAGCTTTCTTTATGCCTAATGAACTGCTTTAGTGGTGGTGGAGCAAGGGAGTGTAAGACTTTATATATTAAACACACTCTAAGTTTCACTAAGTTATTGAAGTTCAGTAATGACTCACGGACGGCCCGGAGGTTGGGGACCGCTGGCTTAGAGGGAAAAACTGCTCACAAATGCAAACACACACAAACACCTTTTAAAAAATTTTCTCTTTCAAGCTATGAAAGGGTTGAACAGACTAAGGCACCACATGTCGTTCTAGTGTGTGTGTGTGTGTGCGTGTGTGTGTGTGTGTGTTGTGTGTTTGTGTGTGTGTGTGTTGTGTTTTTGTGTGTGTGTGTGTTGTGTGTGTGTGTGAATTCAATTTGAATAAACCAAGCCATGGTTGCCTTTGTCAGCAGGGATGCACTACATTTATTTGTTTTCCATGTGATTATGTTTTTAAGTTAAAAGGCCTTGAGGTGCATAGCACAACAAAAAGATACACACAACAACATTCAGGAAAACATGACATGACATTTCAGAAATATTTTAAGAGAAAATATTCAGAATTAGGGCTTCAAAACTTTAGACTGTTAGGGCCTGATTCACTAGTCCCGGCACAAGCTGGGTTTTGGTACATAAGTACTGTCTGTATTTACAAAGAGAACGCAGAGGTGTGAACTGTTTTGTACCTGTTTCTGTTCTGTTTCTCAATGTGCAAATTACAGAGAGGAGAGTAATTAAATGTAATAACTCTTTGGACCCAACTTCCTGCTAACTGCTAATGATTATATAGCTCCACCTCCAGAAACAGATATCTTATTTTTTGTGCTTTGTATTGAAATGAACTGAATGCATCTGTGATTAGAAAACAGCACAATTTTCGCAATGCACCCATTTGCTCCATTTAATTAATCTGTCCGTTTTCAGATTTGGTCTGATTTTTGATCACAGTTTAGAAGTTGTTGAACCACGAATGTGGATTTTTGTTTGTGTGCTGTTGCAATGATGGTTAATTCAATTGGTGCATTGATGTAGCTAATGTGGAACTAAACTGAACTAAGCTACGCATGGCTAGGTCCCATGACTTCACATGCAGGTCTTGGCAAGCATACTGAAGAACATTAACTTTTCCATAAAGTGTTGTGTTGTTGTGTTGTCTGTTTTGTTTCCATTTTTCTTGTTTTGATTGTTTTTTTATGTTTTGCACCCCAGGCCACCATGAGCACAGAGTTGCACAGTTTGGTCATTTGGAGCATCCTCGATGTAATTTTGCTCATGTGGACAGCTGCTGTAATAATAATGTAATAAATTCTGATGATGTTAAAATAAAGACTACATTTTAAGCACAGAAGGGTTCTTACATTCCTCAGACACAAGTAATTATTCCCCACAGTACCTTTCAGCTGATGCTCAATATTACCCTGAGGACAGTGGGTCGTGTCTCGCCATGAATCAGCGTGTTAATGCGAGATTGACGCTCGGTGTTGAGCAAATGAGGTCTCGCGAGCTAGGTGATGCTGTAGCAAAGACCCGAGGCTCACTGTAATTGAAAATGACAGGGTGGATGCGGTGGCATAGATGGGCGGCCGCCTGCACGCACACTGGTGGAACACACGTGCGCACACATTTCCTTTTTCTTCGCTCTCTTACCTTCTGCTGTCACACACATTCACTCCCCTGTCTTTTCTAAATCACTCACACACACTCTCGTGGCCTGGTTGTAATTAGTGGCACAGGGTAGTGGTCACACATAATCCCGCTAATTGGGCTGGCAGGCGCCATTACCCAGAGCTAATCACCATTCTCTGGGTGACAAGGCATCCTGGCCTTCTGACCACTAGCTGCTAGCAGGATCCATATCACATTGCCAGAGCTCAGTGAGCTCTACTAAACCAATTAACCCAACAAACTCACTGACTCACTTTGTAGGTCTCAGGCAGACTTTGCCTTACCTTATTTAGTGACAGCCCATTTGGACTGGCTAATATAGCTTAAGGGCTGTCCTCCTGCAAGGACCCTTGAGCAAGACAATTTACTTCATCGTTATCTGTGCTGAACATAGAGCTATTCACTGGGCTAATGTGGGAATTGTTGCAAAATATAATGAAATTCATAAATGGGGGGGGG